AGGGAGTTGATATATTGCTCCGATGTCAACAATTTGTTTGACGCGTTAGGACAGAAACATGATCCAAATGATTGGCGCCTGTTCATTGATTCCTCTAGGCTTAGTTTAAAAGCGGTATTGGTACACAACGGTAATAAATATATCTGTACCTATAGCGCACGCAGTTCATATGAAGGAATCATATGAAAATATGCGAGTTCTGTTAGAGCATATCCGTTATAATGAATATGGATGGGCCATATCTGAAGATGTAAAGCTAGTAGCCCCTTCTTCATGGAATGCAACTGGAATATACCAAATATAGTTGTTTTCTTTGTGAATAGGACAGTCGTGCGCGAGATCGTCATTATGAACAGAAGGAGTGGCCGCTACGTCAGGTATTAACTCCGGGCCTCAAAAACATTGCTCATGAAGCACTAGTTGATCCATCTTTGCATATTAAGTTGGGACTGATGAAAAATTTTGTGTAAGCTATGGATCGAAGTGGAAGAGGGTTTCTGCATTTAAGGCAAACATTTTCGAGACTTAATGAGGCAAAAATTACAGAGGGCATATTTGTGGGTCCACAAATACGGAAAATCATGAAGGATGATGAAGGTGACAGTGCTCTAAATGAAACTGAATTACGAGCTTGGAATGCTTTTAAATCAGTTATTGCAAATTCTTTAGGCAATGTGAAGGCGGACAATTAAAAGATATTGTGAGTGAACTAATTAATGCTTATAAAGGAATGGGATTAACATGTCTCTAAAAATTCACTTTTTGGATTCTCATCTCGATTTTTTTCCGGAAAATGTAGGTGCGGTAAGTGATGAACACCAAGACATTTCTGCTATGGGAAAACGGTATCAGGGCAAATGGAGTGTCAATTTGCTTGCTGATTATTGCTGGACATTGTTAAGAGATACTTCAGGAGCAACATATCGCCGTAAAACATCGACAACAACATTCTGAGATTAATGTTTATCGAGTGTTTATTAGTACTCTTACACACATATTCTTATATTTTACGAGTATAAACAGCAAATAAAATGCCTTATTGCAAGAAAACCGTGGGCGATAGAAAAAATCGAATGCTGTTTCCGGCTTTTTTGGTACGTTTTACATAATAACCACCTTGATTTGTCCATGTCACAAAAAATCATTTCAATTTTGTTCACCAGTGTAATTAAAAAGTTCAAAATTTTTTAAAATAAATAAATTTTTGTTAAATTATTTTTAGAGAAATATTTTTTTTTATTATAGTTAAATAGTATTGTAAAATAATTTAATTATTTTTAGGAAAAAATATTTTTTTTACGTTGTGTATCAGGGTTTATTGAATAGAATGATTTATTTTTATTATTTCGAATTTAAAATAGTTAAACATTTATTTTTTTATTATTGGATGAATATTATGAATACATTTTTAGTAATTAAATGTTATTCGTTTTTAAAAATATACTTATTTTTTAAGAAAAAAAATAATTTTGAATATTAAAGCCCAGTGGAGTGGTTAGTTTCTAGTTTCATCCAATTTTGAAATATACTTTCGGTGCAATATGTTTAAAACATTGATATACCTATACTAAGTGAGAAAAAATAACACCCAGTAATAATGAATTTATTACAAAGGTTTTCTAGGTATATGTTATGTTGGTTTAGTTTAAGACAAAAAACGATCAGCTTTTCAACCAAACCGATAAAGTGGTTCTTGCGATATCTGTTCTTACAAAAAAAATGAAATAAGCGATTATTTTGTTTTGTAGCTACAATTAGCATTTGATTAGAGTGAGAAGACAAGAAAATAACTCAGAAAGTAATATCAAAATTTAATGCGTAATGTCATATTAGTGCAATCGTTCATCAGCCTGGTTTTTGCATTTAATAGTGCGCACGGGCACGTGACAGGGTAATGTGCATCGTAATTTTTTGAAGTAAATTAAACTTGATGATTCACCAGCAAACTTCTTGTGCATAATAGAGTTTAAAAGTTATCACGGATGCTACCGATAAGTACAGGGCGTCGAGTCAAATTTGGAGTGCACGCTATTTATAGGATTTGCATAAAATTATAAGTAAGAAAAAAACAAATATGATCGATAGTTGTTGTCAGGTTTGTTGTGATTAATATTTTATTGAATACAAACTTTGTGACCAATATTAAAATACGTTAAATAACGTGCATTACTACAGGATATATACTGAGCACTATTTGCGAAAGTGACGGCAACTGAGAATAAAAAAATTAGAAAGACCTGCACAAGTAATCGAAACAAGCTCATGGATAGTGCAAAAGGTTTTTTAATAGTAATTTGATGCAAACAGTTAATCTGGTGCTGTTTCAACGTATCAATAATACAGCTAATTCAAGTGTTTCAATATTCACGCGGATCTAAAATTTTTCGATAACGTAAAATCAATCCATCTAAATTGTTCAGATAAAGTTAAAACTACAGATTTTGTTGGCAATAAGGATATCACATATTAACAGGCGCTTACTATATATGCACAATAGTAGCTGCTGCGCACTGTTACCTCTGTTTTTTTACTATATGTCTATATAACCTGAATCAAGTAGATACTGTGAGATCAATACAAAATAACAGAATTATTCTAATTTGAATCCGCTTCTTGCTTTTCGTTCAGCAAAAACTTCAAATAATCTAGCGGGCTGCCATTAGTAAAATTACGATTTTCTGAAGAATACATGCTCGTAAAACTGGCTAATTCATATCTTAGATCTGCAGTGAACAATAACGAATATTTTTGCATCAAATGTGACGCTGGTTTCTAATTAGTTTTCTTTAAGATTGACTAATTTATCTGGCATCAAAAAACCAAACACATCATTCACTTCACGAAATCCTTCAGTACGTTCTTGCAATTCGTTACTCATTGAATCCAAAACTTCGTAGTAATTTATTCGATGTTTTTCTTGTGTTTTCAGTGGCGAGTCAGCAGCTTTTTCGAGGAACATTTTTTTGATTTTCCCCTTTCTGACAGTGGGAAAACCAGGATTTTCCCATTCCATCTCTTAACATTTATTCTTAGCTTTCAGAACAAAATTATCGTATGTGCTTTCGCTCCTCAAATCTTTTAATTTTTTCAATGCTGCTGAAATGCACCTTTGAGCCATCAGCAAGTCTATTTCTTTATTTTGCATATGAACCTGCACAGTATTCATTATGCTCAATACTGAATGCTACCATAACAAATTGAGGAAAAAGGTTCAGTTCATGGAGGAAAGGAGAGATCGAAAATTTCGTCCACGATATTATCACGAATAAAACAGATATGTCGTCAAATAAAAAAATGCACAGTATTGTGAAAGTTTATGGTTATAAGCAGAGTCTTTATTAGGCCGAAAGAGGCTGATTCATACCACGAAGATATTTATTTACTGAACATTTTATGACAGGTAATAATATATCACTGTAAGCACAAAATGAAACCCTTCCACTCCTTGAGAAATAAAAGGGTCTTTCGGTCAGGGTTGTCATCTGCCATCCGTCCGTCAGTCAAGTTTTTAATTTTTATGTCAGAGGCACTGATGTCAACCCAATAATAGTTTATGTGACTATCGTACAAATATTGCTTAAGAGCTACTCTAAATTTTCGTGCCGGTAATTGTTTAAGTTGTAAAGAAAGTGAGTTGAAATTCGTGATTAATCAATACGTACAACTTCTATCAAAAAAGCTTGTTGAGTGAGAAAGCATGTCTAGACATAGTTGATCTCTTATGTTTAAAGTATAAAGGTTTGATCTAAAATGCATTTTGTCCTTAAGGTATTCTGGAGATGTACGTATAGAATCATTGATCAATTTATGTACAAAAATCGTGATATCATGTTGGAATGCTACTGGAATTTTTAACCAATTTAAATTCTTATTTTTTTCAGATATATATGGTCATTTCTTAATAACGCAACATCATATGTTTTGTAGGAAGAAAGCAAGCGTAGTATGTATGGTTTTTGAACTAAAGTATTAACGTGTTGTCTCAAACGAAACTGCTCGTCAATTTCTACACCTAAAATTTTGGATACCTTTATAAAATTCAGTTTAACACTATTACTAACTATACTAAAATCCTCTTTAATCTTATTTTTATCATTTGCTGGGCACAGCTGTTTTTTTGGATTTTAGATTCCATGTCAATGTTGATTTGTATCATAGCTGTTCGTAAATTTTCTGGATTGAAATTATGAATTATTTGGGTATCATCGGCATAAATTTGTGCATATGAATGATTGTTACATTTATGTATATCTGTAGTGTATATTAAAAATAAAATTGGACCAAGAACTGGGCCTTGTGGTACTCCGGATATAACGTTTGAAATAGAAGAAACGGTGCTATTCAACGAGACCTGTTGTTTGCGATTTTGTAAATACGATTTCAAAAATGATGCAAAAAATGAACCTGTTTTTGTATAGCGAACGAATTCGTATGTATGGTTTTGAACTAAAGTATTAACGTGTTGTGTCAAACGAAGCTGCTCGTTAATTTCTACACCTAAAATTTTGGGTACGCTTCAAAAATTTAGTTAACCACTAATAATAACTATACTAAAATTCTCTTTACTCTTATTTTTGTCATTTGCTGGGTACAGCAGAGGTGCTGTACATTTATTTGGATTTAACTTCAAATTATGTATGTTTAAATGATGGATTTTAGATTCTAGGTCAATGTTGATTTGTATCATAACTGTTCGTAAATTTTCTGGATTGAAATTATGAATTATTTGGGTACCATCGGCATAAATTTGTACATATGAATGATTGATACATTTATGTATATCTGTAGTGGATATTAAAAATAAAACTGGACCAAGAATTGGGCCTTGTGGTACTCCGGATATAACGTTTGAAATAGAAGAAACGGTGTTATTCAACGAGACCTGTTGTTTACGATTTTGTGAATATGATTCGAAAAATGATGCAGAATTGTTATCAAAGCTTATGGTTTATAGTACTGTATAGAAAGATGAGATTTTGTAATGAATAATTTTGTTTCAGATTATCACCTTTATCTATCTGTGCTCAGCAGATGGAGTCTTCCAGAACTCCAGTCACATATGCGATACATGCAATTGCCATGAGACCGAAAATGAATTCATTTTAAACTGCGTCGACAAAAGATTCACACATGTTTTGGCCGACTGGCCACATCACAACAAATCTCTGATCGCCGATTTCAGTTACAACAACATATCAACCTTGGAGAAATTACCCACCAGCAATTATTCAGTCCGGTTGATGTTTGACCATTGCAACATCAAGTCCTTGGAACCTGGGATTTTGGTTAATGTTGTAAAAGTGGAACTTCTGGATCTCAGTTATAATTTGTTAACCAGTACGTACCAATTGTTTTGACTTGAAAATTGAATGATACATGGGCAATACGGCTCTAGGAGAAACCGTTGAAAATGGCAGTAAATTCAGAACATGTAGTGTTGTGACACCTTTTTATAACTTGCCGAATTTGCATCATTTAATAATACATGATAATCATGGTACGTGAAATGCTGAACACAGGAAGTTTTCGGTTTCGATGAGGCATTCCTACGTTAAATTCCAGAAAATTCAAAATTACATTTTCAGGCGTCAATCATATGAATTACCATGTTGTTTGTGCCGCATATACTCACCAACACTGTCCTAATATCAAGATACAGAAAAATTTTAAACCTACGTCAATGACGCAACGGTTCCCGGAATCTGCCATTTGTATGATAATATCACACCAACAAATCATTCTTAAAGAACAAATAATGTCTGATTGTATTTGAAATTACCTGCGATGCATAATTTTATATAATCGTGTGCTTCGCCCATCATTCATCAGAAGTTTGTTTACCAAGTGTGTCTAATATTTAATTTTAGTCGTTCGATTTGCCGGAAAACACTTTATCTTGCTATTATATCTTATGATATCACTATTGCTAATAATAGATTAAAAAGTAACTTGGCGAATTACTGTAGCATCAAATGTCTACATAAAACTATTAGATTCTTTGAAAAATTAAAAATGCTTTAATTTATCTGGCGGTTTGAAAAACCGAATCATTCCTGGATGTCACTCAATACTCCATGAAAAACGATCTGGTATTTTTGAAAGAATGATGTTTGCATCTTGACTAGAAACATCGTTAAGCTGTTCTTGTACATAAAGAAGCCTAATACACGTTCTATCAAATTTTACCCGCCAAAAATGGTGGACACACCACGTATATAATTTCACATTGATTTCAGCTGAGAAAATTGATGGAATAGACTTTAAAGGTCCATACGTCAAAGAGAAATATTTTCCAACAGCTCTAAAGCACCTAAATCTAGCTTATAACTTAATCCATACCTTGCCTGAAAAGTTGTTTGAAAGTATGCCGCATTTGGAAGATCTCAATTTGGCAGGAAACGGCTTCAGTGTCTTGGATTTCAACTCCCAACATGCTCTTTCGTCTCTATCAAAACTCAAGGTATACCTCAGATCACTTCATATATATATTTATATTTTTCAAGTTAAGATTTTGAATAAGCTTTATTCTGTATAATAACAGATTAATGTTTTCTTCCAGAGACTAAACTTATCTAACAATGGACTAACAGAATTAGTAGGAGATGCTGTGCGAAATTTAACAGACTTAGAAGAGTTAGACTTGTCTTATAATAAGCTAGACTTTGTGCCAAATACTTTAGATTATTTGAAAAAGAACCTCAAGGTTCTGGATTTGAGTAATAATCCTATCTATAAGTTGAATGACAAAAGTTTCCTAGGTAAATAACCATGCGAAGTTGAGCTTTCAACAATCAAATCAAACACCGAATTTTGACCAATACATTGTAGCAATGATTATCGCATTCTTCTTGAACATAGCCAATCATATAGTGTATTACGGCGCCCAAAAAGGGATGGAACAGTTACTAACACCATTTATGATCTTCAATCCCTTTTTTGCGCCTCTTTAATGCCTATGCGGATAGAATAATCATCAATGCCTGAAGATACGCATCAGCGTGATGCCAAAAAGGGAATGAAGATCCTAGCGCCATCTATGCGACAGGAGCAGAACCACATATTCTAGTTTCTCAAAGGAGATTTCTAGATTCATTTTGTATTCAGCTACTGAGTCACAGATAGAGCTAGGATTTTTCAGATCCTTTTTTGGGCGATAGAACACAGTATATGGTTGTCTACCTTCAGGTAGAATACGTTAATCAGTGCTTGTACGTAAACGTTTATAGAGCTCTCAAAGGATATTTTTGATCTAATTTTAGGGCTTAATCTTAAATATCTGTATTTGAACAATTTACCAAGAGTCAAAGCTGTTGGGCCGAATACATTTGCCACTTTGCCGATGTTGAAAAAGTTAGAAATGTGCAATAATATACATTTAAGGGATATCGATAGAGAAGCTTTCAGTCCAAAACAAGAATTAGTGGAGGTAAGAATAACAATATGTTAATATTAAAGTTTGGAATAAAAAAATTTAAACTTCATTTCTTATGAATGTTTTCTAGATAAAATAAAAACGTATTTTGCAGCTATACCTCAATAACAATTCATTGGTTGAGATTAGTTATCATCTTCTGCAATGGAAGACGCTGGAAATTTTCGAAATCATGGAAAACCCTTTATCTTGCACTTGCGACTTATACAATATCTCGAGAGATCTCAAAAAAGATATAACTCGCAATTTAGATGGACCTAGTTGTGTCCACAGCAATGGAAATGGCCAGATGATATATCGTTTGAAGGAAGCAAGTGTATGTACAGGCAAGGTAAGGTATCTTTCGTTTTAGAGTTACCAGTGAAGACATTTTAAAACTGGATAGACTCAACAAGATAAAGAAATGGAGATACTGCTAAAACCTCTCGCTTTCCCTAAGAAGGTCTCAACCTTATGCTATATATGGACCAGCGTTGCCGGATGTACAGTTTTATGGTAGATCTACCGTTTAGAGACTACCACGAAACGCTAACTGCGATTGCACAAAATTCGATCAAATACTCGTACACCCCCTTACCGATGTGTAGGCAATGAGTAGTTAGATGTAGTCCTACCAATTTTTGAGATAACGTATTGCTGTATTCCGCACTTCATTAGTTACGCAAAGGTAGGGATGGGCGGTTATTATTAAAAAAAACCGCTTTTAGGTTAACCGGTTATCATATCAAAAACTTTAGCCGCCACCGGTTAACCGAATTAAATTTAACCGGTTATACGGTTAAACGGAAAATAACCTTTATTATTTTTACACCAAGCACCGAGATAGCCCATAGCACTCAGTGTAACCTTGCACATATCGGCATTTATGCACTTACGATATACTTATAATTTCGTTGGTAAATCAAACCCAGTTATAGAATAATAAATTTAAATGCGGGAATCATGAAGTTGGCATCTGTCAAACATCAAGTCTTGTCATAAACCGTGGCATAAAAAAGGCGTTTTTTGACCACAGAACATCTATTAGAACCTAGAGCTTTCCCAAACCAGCCGGGGCATTACCTAACTTGAAAAGTGACATTATGAATAAATTCAAGCGAATAACCAAATGAAAATGGTCTTCACCATTTTGGATTGGTATTTACCGATCCGTTCAAGAGACTGTGGTTATCAGTTATAAGATCCGTGACGTCATGAAGAGGATCCGTATAAAGAACATGAAATAGTAAAAGGAGCTTCAAAATATTCATAAGCTTGGAGAAAATTAAAATAAAATCCATCAGCTGTTATATGTCAAGGTTATCACCGAAAAATTGTGGTATTTACCCAACTCAGGAGTAGTTTTATATTTCTGGTTATTATTTGAAATGTGATAAGTTAGAATTTTGCTGGGTATTGGATATTTTTGTTGTACTTCAGCTTCATTTTTGGGAAACTTGATACAGGCTGACTTCAGTTGTAGCATAAAGTAGAGCACCTTATTAGTTATACTGATTACTGTTGTTGGGGACACTTTAAATCTAGTTCCTATGCTTAACAAAGTATCCTGTGTAGCCATATACCACAAGAATATTAAAATATGATCTTTTAAACTAACTAGATAATGTCCACCTGCATACGGTTTTGCTAATATCTTTTTTCATCGCTTTTTCCTATCATTTCTGCTAAATCAATAAATGTTCTGTTCGACATGTGGAAAAGTTTATAGAATTGAAAGTTATCATAGCTACAAAACCATGGTTCCATCATTAAAAATTATTTTATGAAAAAAAAAACAATTCTCCTATTAATATTAAGAAAGGTTTCTTTTTTAAGCTTTCCATACACTGTTGTAGACGAAAAAGCACCGATTTTATTAAGTGATAATAAAAATAATCAGAAATTATACACGCGCTTTTCTAAAATAAGGTACAAAACCGCAGTTAAAAAACCAACGCCTTCAAGCGATTCGAGTAACTGACGTCATCAGTTATCTTAAACTATATTATAACCGCGGTACATAACACAGACATTTGGGTTATTCGCTTGGATTTGATTAATGTCGGTTATTTTGACATTCTGTAGGTTTTCCAACAAGACGTCAACTTGGAACTAGCTGTCGTTCACTTCATGCTCAGTTGAAAAAGGCGGAATGAACTATTTGCACACTAATTTTCTAAATTATAAATGTTTTTTACGTAATACCCTGTTGTTATGCCGTTATTGGTATAGTTTCTCTTTAATGCCCACATATGGCGCGGGACGTTGGAGAACTGTTCAAAGACTATAAAAACAATACAGCCGTAATATTCAATATGCCCATATTTACTGAGATTTGTGTAGATAGAAGAAAATCTTTCCTTCCGGTTATTGCATTTTTAACCAATAACCGGTTAACCAAACATCACGAAACAACCGGTTATTCAATTAACCGGTTTTTTTTGTCCATCGCTACCCAACGGATTGTCTAAGCAAGCGCGGACACGCGACACACATCCCGTCCTCAAGCTTTTCACACAATATCCATAATAACAACCGTTTATTTATCCAATCTACCACTATTTAGACTGTATCCCGTACGGTTTTCAGCATTTTTCATCTGACAGCATTGATTTGGGCGTTCATATATAAGATATTCATCGCCTCAGTCATATTGCCAAGTGGCTTCACAGTAACTATCTTAAAATTAATTCAGGAAGACTCCATTTTCCTTTTACAAAAATAAAATTGATTACTCTCAAACATGACATCAATCTTGGTTGAAATGGACATGTTTGTTTTCCGTGCATTGCGCAGAACGTCAACCAGTTATGAGCCAGACGTATTGGGGTCTTCTGTCATCTTCATCGTATGGGATGAGAATAAACATCAGCTTGGCAAACCATTGGTAGGTGGAAATCGTCAAATTTCTCAACTACTTCCGCTCAGTGTTTTGAGTTTTTAGAAAGACCATAGCCACTTGTTTGATTTTCGTTCGTCTATCTCTTGACGTACGCACTGATGATTTGCTAATGAGCACGAAATAACGCTGTCTGCGGTTGGTCATGGTTACGAAGAGGTGAAGCAAAAATGTCTATTTCAACCGTGTCTTCTTATGCATATACCAGGCGTTTCAAATTCGACCCTCGATACCAAGTCGCTTAAATGGGGCAAAGCCGCGTATTTGGGTAACTAACAAAATGCTGCTTAGAAAGTTTCGACATTCATAGTACTTCCGGAGAGAGACAGAAAAAAACGAATTTTCCCAAAATCGTTTCAATTTTCTTCTGGCTTTATTTGCAGTGAGATTTCAAAATAAATTGCACATTAGCATTGCCACAAAGTGGCATAATTAGAATTTCAATACAGATTCCTAGGTAGGCCTTGAAATTATAAGTCATTTGTTTCGTCTACCAGACTTAAAATTGAACAGAGTTTTGAAGACTGAGAATAAGAGAAATAAATCAGGCAGTAAGCAATGTACAGAGAAGAGTTAGGCTTTGTTACAAAATAACGGGCAACATTAACATCTTCTATTTATGATTATTATTATTACCATCAATAAAATGTTTGTGTTCAGGTTTTATCATACCTTTTTATATCCTTCCTTTCAATAAACAACTAAGAAAATACATCACTGAATATAGGACTGAAAAGTCCATTTAAATGGGGATAATGCCAAGATAGCGTCCATATGAAGAAACGACGAAACGTCATATTAAAATTCTAATTATGCCATCTTGTTGAGGAGGAAAGGTGGCAATGTTAATGTGTAATTTATTTGGAGATTACACTGCAAATAACGTCAGAGAAAAATTAAAAATATTTGGGAAAAATTCGGTTTTTCCGACTCTTTCCGGAAGTACTTTGAATTTTCTAAGCGGCATTTTCTTAGTTTCTTAAATTCGCAACTTTGCCTCCACTTAAGCGACTTCGTATCTCTTACCATTTTCGAGATGCCAATGGTGAGGGTCGAATTTGACACATCCTGTATCCATAGAGAGCCTCTATGGATAGTTACCGTTATGGTGGTGTGTGAAAAAACAAGATCTTTTCCAAAATTCCTTAAGCCAATTAGTTGTACAATAATTCCAGTAGTAAGCCTTAGACATCACCGAGATTCTGATACCACTCTTCCACCAATTTGGGACACGCTGTATATTCTCTCCTTGCACTTTATTGGCAAATCTAATCATAAAATATTAATACTGAAATAAATTAACTTGATTTATTTTATGAATATGACAGCAAACATGTTTGTTTGAGATACAATGTGGAGACAACATGCATTTAATTCTAAGTTTTATTTTTTAGCCATATGATTTTGACATCGATTACGCAGAAGAACATTTCGAAATGTTGAGAGTGACAATTATATCGCTGAGCAGTATATTAGTGGTCATGATGTTAATTTTGACTGTGATAGCGATTTTAAGATATAGAAGAGGGACTGTGGTTAGGAACTATCCCTTCACAGTGCAAGTCAGCTACAATCCGTTGGAAAACAGGCCTTTCTAAGAAGTTTTCTTATGAAATGTATCCTCAATTTCACCATTTAGGACAAACATATACAGATCGCTAAAGAAATCAGTTGTTTGCGATTTTTAATTTAGTTTTGGTTGAAGAATTATAAGGTTTTACAACGAAAAATGAAAATACCGTCTGTTATTAGGATAAAAGATGTTTCCCAAATATGGGGTAAACATCTACGATTCGGATATATGTTTGTTGAAATGACGGGAAATAACGGTTATAATTAACAAAAACCACATGTAAAGCTTCTCATATACATAGTTCCCAATGACTACGTCCAGGGGGCAAATTCTTGAAAATGAGGGAACAGAACAAGAAGAATCGCTCCAAAGGTGATTGTATCAACAAACCTTTTTTATATACGCCAAAACAGATGTAAATCTTTGTCAGAAAAGGTAATAGAAAACTTTCTACTTCATCTGACAGATAATGGAATCCATGCGTTAACCGAGGCTTAGCAAATGTGCAAATATTTCGCTGTCATGATTTATTCGATCACAAGAAAATTGTCAGTTTGAAATTCAAGTTGTTCCTAACCTCAAATTGACTAAATGTTTATGTATTTTCTGTCCATCATCTGCTAGGTAGCGCTATCATCACGCATCCAGCGAATTCTGCTCCCTAATTTTCAAGAGTTGGCCTCTACATTAGTGATGAGCTTTCTAGTTCATTTCGCTGAACTAGTTCAATAAGTCGTGTTCACTAAAACTATTTTACGTAACAAAACGAAGTAACTCGTTACGAGAGTGAAAACGCCGCCTTCCATCCGATCGCCAGCTCTGGGTGTCTAAGTACTTGGGAAGACCTCGTATTGTTAATTTAATTGTTAAGATAGATGTTTCAAATTTAAATATTCCACGTGTCTCAAATAGTAGGTGCACCTATGAGATATAGACGTTTTCGAACAATGTCAAATAATGTGGGATCCACCTTTGTTTATTTTCACTAGAAGCAGATCAGAAGCTGATAAAGTCCAAAAATAATGTGTTTAAATGGAAATTTGTAATTAATTTATATGTTTATTTTAGCATTCAATTTCTTCATTAGCCTCAGTGGGTGTTGTATTGTATAAAGTAATAGTTTTTAACAACTTCATTATGACCTATTTGATATCCCTGAACTAAACCACGATGGTATCCAGGCAACCAGTTATTCAACATTCTGCTTACTCGGTTGCCTACGGTGGTGTTCCGACTTCTATCTCGCTCTCGCTCGTTCACTCACCCTTAAATCGCTTGGAGTGAACAAGTTTTTCGTCGAAGGTTGAACTAGTTCAGTCATAAAAATGGTTCTTTTGAACTAGTTCGTTATCAAACTACATATCACTACTCTGCATACAAATATAATCTGAAACTCTTGTTGCAAAATTCGGTGAGTATAAAGGCATAGTAGTCGTTTAATTTCAGTATCTTGTAAAAGATAAAGCTTAAGGCTACATCATGCTACTTGAAATATAGAATATGGTGTTTAAAACATGCTTCTGAGTGTAATGTCAGTTCCACTGAGACTAAAATAAAATCAGAGTCATACAGATAAGTTTAGCATTTAAGTTATGATTATGAATTTCTTGTGCCAATCGAAGTGTTAATAATTGTATTCAAATAACTGTGTAGGAGTATTATAATATAATCTGTTTTGTTCAAAACACGCATTTAATTATTTTATTATCACTACCAGCCCACAGGACAGGAAAAAGTCTATTGTTTCTATACTCCAATTCGCAACAGTGGACGACAATAACATTGTCACTAAGATAATTATTTTTCGGATTTGTTGAGTCATTGTACCTATTTGAGAGCATGTATGTTCGAAACTAACATTTCATAATTTGAAACAAAACTCTAAAATAAACTTCCAATCAAAGATTGTTTTTCTCATAAAGCAATAACCTCCTCTCTTGCTAGCGCGATATCATGCGGTGGCCAAAAAAATCAACAGGTCAAGCTACAATACGCCAATGGGATTGCTTGGCTGTCGTTTATTGCCCATCCGGTGATGACTTAAAACACTTTTATGAATTCCTATAATATAAATTCATAAAGAATAAAGCATCAGGGCCTCGAAGCGGGGGTTTCGGCTCTGAAAATAACTCATATTTCAATTTGATCGCATTTGTATCTTAAACTTTCAACATTTTTCTTTTTGGGTACTTTGTTTTTTAAAAGCCCAAAATTCGCAATGTTAGCATTTAGCAAAAATCCACCCATTTTCGAATATTTAACTTGCGTTTTTGAAAGGTTCCTTTATTTTAATAAACATTGATTCACTTTTCCAAGAAATCAACATACCACAGTTATGCAGCTTATAAATTTTTTTGTGCGTAATCGTCGCCCAGTATTTACGGTATTTGCAGAAGTTTTATTTTTTACTTATTATTTAAAGAGTCTTGCAACAGCCTAGGCATATTATGTTTTACACTGTGGAATTCAGTAACTATAATACTAAGTTAAAATTGAAGCCATATTTTCACATTACATTTTTAGAACAATTGTTTTTCATATGCTTTTCACTCCATCATTCTAGGGATGCAAGCAACAATCCAATAGTTAACCACTTATGCTAAATCTACCCTAGATATGATAGTGTTAAAATTATCTCTGATTAATAATCAATAAATTTGGAATACAGTGGTAAGAGTTTTATTGCATTTCCGTCATTAAATTTCAACCCGTAACAACATCTGTAAGATATGTGGATATATACTCGGCATCTTAAGCATTTTTGTTGGATATAGGCAATACTAGGGCCCATTTCGAATTCGAGAAGAACTAAACATAAATTACCCTTATGCATGAGTTTATTTGTAGAAACGTGGGATACTCCTCATTCCTGTTACTTTTCGACGTTTGCTGCATTATTTTATACATTTGTGATTTTTGTTGTTGATATATTTTTTGCATGTTATATGGTACATCACGAAAAACCGTGTCACTCATTACCGTCTGTCTGTCTGTCGGTATGTCTGCTAATCTTATAACAGCCTATAACTTGAGAATCACCGCTCGGATTTCGATAAAATTTTTACACAAAAGCTTCGTAGTTTTTGACTATCGGTCCAGTGACGGCGGAGGAAAACAAAAGAATAAATAAAAATCGCTCAAAATTTTTTGTAAGGGTTAAAAATTGGGGGTTAGGGGTTGCAGAGTATAGGGGTGGATATAATATCAATTTCTTGACGTTGGTATATTTATAAGTCTCCGTCCCCAGTAATTCTACGCACATATTAAGCATATTTCACTCATCATAGATGTTCCTGTACATTTACCCTTAAATTTTCGTAATTCTCACAATAGTTCAGTCATCGGGTATACTTAAATGACTTTTCATAGATGTTCCCGTACATTTACCCTTAAAACTTAGAATTGTTTCCTGCAGTCGAGTGTCGATACATGCGACGTGGTCCCCGGGATGGACAAGCCTCGTCAGTGGTCGTACGTTACAGTCCCTTCCACACTACTGTGGGTTGCGTGAATTGTTTCCTGCAGTCGAGTGTCGATACATGCGACGTGGTCCCCGGGATGGACAAGCCTCGTCAGTGGTCGTACGTTACAGTCCCTTCCACACTACTGTGGGTTGCGTGAATTTTACATGGGGAAGACCAATATCGTCATTCATGCGGGATTGGTCATCGTAACGATCATGTGTAGCTGCAACAATTCCTTTCACGGGGAGGAGGAAGGTCATTTAATTTTTTGTTATACACGATCGTAGAAGGACTTACTTCACGTCATATATGTTTGTGGATAACTTCTTTTTCAGAAAAACACAAAATCCTTTACTAACTGATGACATCGTAGCGTGGGAAGTACAGAGCCAACTTACTTGACGGCGTTTTTTGTTATTCATATGAAATATAACGAAGCAAATAAAAAGGGCAATGTGGTTTCAGTTTGGACTCGTAAAGTAGCTGCTCCATGCGCTGCCATATTTTTAATAAAAAAACATATCTAGTAGTAAGACCTTGTATATAACAAATAAGCTGCTCAAATTCCGCAAACACACTTACTGGATATGATGATCTATATTTACTAAAAACTCATCCAAATCAGGCAATCGATTCCGGCAAAAATATGCTTCAAAATTGGGTATCCTTTTTGACAGTACATTAATTTCTTGGAGAATATATCAGAAAGGTTTCAAAAAGGCATATGAGCTCAGAGTTTGCACACCAATCTGCAATTCTTTGATTTACAAAAGTTGTGTCTTGCGTTCAGACCGAGTAATTACAAACCAAGTACTCGGTTCGTCCATACTTTTATAGCACATCTTTTAATTAAACTAGTGCGGTTTCTGTGTTTAAAATACTGCCCTAGTTCATCCTAAAACATCCAAAAGGAACATCAAAGCCACAAGTAAAAGCCGTAAAATGTGACATGTTGATAGTTCACAACATTAACACGAGCTCGCTTTTAATTTAGTTACGGTACTGATAAAATTGAAACATAGCGCCTCATGATCCAGAAAGATTTTCACGTTGCCCTAGGTTCGTGATTCTCACAATAGTTCAGTCATCGGGTATATTTAAATAACTGGCAACCGACACGAGGATTTCGGCGTTTATAAATAAATAAGTAAACAGATGTACAGCAGCAGTAAAATGATGTTGACGATCAGTTTATAACTCGTCGGGCGAAAATTTATATTTAATAGTTCGTAAAATCGATGGAATATGCTGTTAAATATAGCTATTATATTACCTTTGATCGCTAAAACTTGCAAATTTATGTATAGAGTGAGTCAAAAACTATTTATGTGGCATATTACGAATCCAGCACCTCCCCCAGAAAACTGGAAATTTGTACATGTCCAACCCATCTCAAAAAGTGATCTAATACCGACCCTTACAACTACAGCCTGTAGCTACGCTTTCTGTTTTATACGTAAGGTGATGGAGATGTGCATAAATCGTAAGCTTCTGGAGTACCTCGAACGTCACGGGTTGATTAGCGACAGGCTGTATGGTTAGCGGCACCAGCGATCCACAGGGGTCCTCGTAGCTTACGTCACGCAATTGTGGAGTACCCTCTTATGCAAACTTCAATCCTAAGGCCTCCCAGAGAAGCTTTGCAGATGGGTGGCTGACTTTCTCTCTGCGATCAATCCAATCCTCAACGTTTCTGATGACAGTACTCTACTTGAAGGAATTCTGAGCGACAAGCCGATCTCTGACGGTGAGCTCTAACGAGAGACCTGGAGGTTATCACTGCTTGGGCACGCAACAATCTTGTACAGTTGCTTCCAAAACACAGTACTGTACTTTGACAAACAAGAAGCGTCCTAGCACTCAATCACTCATCCGGATTCGATGGATGGCCGAGTTGTGTCAAAGAGCCTTTCATTTCGGCTGGTCGGAGTCCGGATCTCCGCGGACTTGATCTGGCACGAACACATTTCGTCAATAGCGGTAGCTGGTGGGAAAAGCTATGCTATTTATTTAGGGCTAAGAAGAGCTTTTCTCCACATGAACTCCTCACTCTATAGGTACAAGGCCCAGGTATGACCTACCTTGGAGTATTGCTCACATGTTTGGGATGCTGCCCGACTACATTTTCCATGGTCAATGCTGTTCAGAGGAGGGCTACTCAACTGATCGATGACTGTTCTCTAACAGACAGTCTGGAGACCTTTTCGCACCGGCGGGCCGTCGGCGATCTAGCTCTCTTCTACCGCTACACCAATAGGCTTTGCTCCTCAGAGCTCTCCTCCATGATGTTGTCGCGCGATTTGCCTGCTAAACAGACCCGCCTGACTTCCGCCTCTCATCCTAATAGTGTCGAACTTATATACATCCAGAACTGGCCGACACGGCCGCTCCTTTGTTCCTAGGGTGTCGAGATTGTGAAACAATCTACAAAAGGAGTATTTTCCCAGTTCTACTATCCTTAGGCAATTCCAAAAACGGATTAACAAAATGTCTTTGGGATCCTCATAGCAGCCGCGGTGCCCTGGCATTTAGGCTTCTGCCTGCGCGGTTGAGATAATTTTACTGCTCTAATAGTAAGGGCTAACCAATAACCAATCCTATTTTTTGAAAACTGGTTTTCTGCTGGGTTATCATCAAGTTTGTATTAAGAGCAAATATCAAAAAAAAACTTGAAAGCAGCCATGTATATTGAATTTTTTATATTCCATTCTAAAAACATTTTAAGGCGCTCTACGTACCACAATATTTTTTGTTTCCTTTAATATTGGATTAAATAAGCTTACAAACTAGCACTCATTTGTTTTGGTGAGTAGAGTGTCTAAACGGGTTTATATAAAAAAAAATAAAAAACGCTAAAAATGGCTTGAATTCATTAAAAATTCCAAGTTTGGAGATCTTTTTCTTAGTACTTGCTCTTTTGCTACATGAACCTAATAAAGTATAATAAAATGCCCTAAATGGCATAACTTTCAGTCTTCATGAGCGAAAAAAAGTCGATCTTCACCTTCCTCTTTTAGTGCAATAGAAAATTCATGTTTTGGACACTATGTAGACTGTCTAACTTGTTTAATGATCGATAGACAAAAACTTTTGAATAAAGCTAAGTTGTTAAAACGCATTTACGAATCTCGTCCTCCCTGTATTCATGTGAATTACAAAGTATAATTCATGATTTACCTATGTAATTATTTTAAAACTAATGCGATCATCGATTATGTCCGATATTTCTACATGTTGGTGTACACGTCGTTTCCTCCAGATGCTGCAATATTACAAATTACACTGCCGCTTGAAGTATTAAAAATGGAAATAGTTCAATAAACAAACGTGATGGATTCCGCTCTAGATAAGTGAAAGGTTCAAGTTTTCTTTCTTTGCATAGTGGGACGGCTGCAACTCGTTTGTGTGACGGATGTTTTCAAAGTTTACAAAATACTTCTAATACTATGTTTTTCTACCATTGGCTACAGAGCACAGCTTTTATAACCTTAGTACAGAATTCAAGACTACTAGATTGGTACGAGTACGAGGTACAATATCGCTAACACTTTGGACTACTCTTAGATGGCTGCTATAACAAACCTCTTGATCATCCTCTCTGACAAAATATGACAGCATCTGCCGCATTTCGTTAGTGTGGGTAGCATTGGGTTACGCAGTAATAATGATGGTATTTATTTATCTGTTCCCTTACCTTCCCTTGAATATATCCGCCTTGTGTATGTAAACACGTATTCTTAGATGTTTAGATCATGACTTTTTCATGCTTATGGTTTAACTTCTTACCTCGTCCGATCCTTTGAGCTGTTCTGCATACGACAGGAATTGATGTAACGCTTCGTCAGCTCTTCTGGCAACCAACCGAAACTTGTACAGAGTTTCTAACTGTTCTGTACAATTAAGGCATATCACGTGGGGTAGTTTGTCGTCAACAGATACCTGCAATAATAAAAAATGGCATTAGGCACAGATCTACAGTCATTTGATGAAATGCGCATTTCATGAAATGTATCACTCTCCATTGACCAGCATGCGTATCATGTAAAAAACCTATAAAACGTCAAAAAACCTATAAGATGTCATCTTGCAAAGTAGGTAGTTTTTATGGCGCAAACAGTCATTCCACGTTTGCTCACTAGGATCGTTGTAAACGTCCATCTAAGGAGGAATCACTCAACTAAACTACACGCAATATTGGTTGCATATGTTTTGCGAGGCCAAATGGTCCTCTGTAGTTTTTATCATTGAGAAGAAAGTTGATTGAATAGCAAGATCGTATCTGGATGATTTATGTGCATTGGTCTGAATGTGTATAAAGTCAGTGATCTTTGCTGTGTGAGAAAATCATTACTGAATATGCTGCCAATGCAGTATATCTGTTGGCTGTGCCCGACGGGTAATTTTTATGTTGTGCTTTCTGAAGAGAGGTTATGTTCAAAGTTATAAACTGCGTTGTGTGCAATTACTGTTAGCTTGTAAAGGGTGTTCAGATAAGGACGCTCGAAAGTTAAAATGGAAAAAAAAGGAAAAAAATTTAAGTCAGCACTAAAAGTCTATATTGATCGTAAATAGCATTCGACGACATTATGTATGGAAGATTATATCGTTTAAATGGCCACCGCGACTGCGCTGTACAGCGTGCATTCGCATGGTCCAATTTTCGAGCACTTTTCCGCACATTTCAGCGTCTACCTGTCCGAGGACGCGAATGATGTTGGCCCTTAATGCTGCAATTGTTTGTGGCTTATCCGCATATACTTGAGACTTCACGTAGCCCCACAGGAAAAAGTCTAAAGACGTTATATCGCACGATCTTGGTGGCCAGTGCACATCGCCGCCGCGCGAAATAATGAAACCGTTGAACTTTTCATGCAGTAAATCCAGCGTTGCGCGTGCGGTGTGGCACGTAGCGCCGTCCTGCTGGAATCAGATGTCTGTTAGATCCATATCGTCCAGTTGATGCCACAGGAAATCATTAATCATGGCGCGATACCGATCTCCATTGACCGTAAGCGCGTTGCCCATAGCGTCCTCAAAAAAATATGGACCGATTACGCCGCCAGCCCAGAAACCGCACCATACAGTCACTTTAGCAGGATGCATAGCAAATGAGCAAGTCACTTCAGGATTTTGGTCAGCCCATATACGGCAATTCTGTTTATTGACATACCCATTCATCCAGAAATGCGCCTCGTCGCTGAAGATGATTTTTCGTGCAAATGCAGGGTCGACTTGCAACTGCTCTAGAGCCCATACGGCAAATGTACGGCGCTGTCCATGGTCTTGCGGTTTCAATTCTTGCGTCAATTGAATTTTGTACGCGTGCAATTTCAAGTCTCGACGCATAATTGTCCATGTTGAGGTCTTTGGAAGGGCAAGTTCTTGTGCACGTCGCCGCAATGACTGATTCGGGTCTTGACGCACGCTCTCTCGCACAGCAGCAATATTCTCGATTGTTCTTACTGTTCGTTGCCGTACGGGTGTTGTTTGGTCTGCCACTGAGCCAGTTCTCTCAAATTTATTGAGCAGACGTCGAATAGTGGACTCAGCAGGACGGCCATGCGCACCATAAATTGGACGCAATGCGCGGAACGTTTCATCAACCGAACATCTGTTTTGATGATAAATTTTCACAATTTCCACGCGTTGTTGAATCGTGTACTGCTCCATGATTAAATGTCAAGACTAACTTAATAACCTCACAAAATTTGACAGCTGTATCCCCACCGGTTTGGGCGCGCGCGCCGTTCAAACATCGAGCGTCCCTATCTGAACACCCTTTATATAGCTTGTAATTCGACAGTGTACAGTGAATATAATTATTTATCTCTCTCATTTTTGAAATTCAGCAAATTTGTATATGTAATTTCCAGAATGGATAAGAAAAAGTGGATGCACAGCTAATTTATAGCTTTGAATCTCAATTACGGTTATTTGAGACAAGAACCCAATGTAATTATCATCAACACATACAACTGACATCTTAAACCTCCAGTAATGCCAACTCAGAAGCAGATTTTACATCACATCAGAGCCAAAGATTGATAGCAAGCCTCATGACGTTTAGGCAACACGTACAACTAAGTGCTAAGATAACATCTTGTAGAAAAACCTACACATAATGTCAAAAAAAAAACAGCATAATATCAAAAAAAATCGGCATAATGTCACTTTTCAAGATACGTGATACCCGTGCAGATCATGATCTGCGCTGACCAGATCAATGATAACGAATCGTTTAAGGTCGATTTATAAACCCTGACGTTGCCGTACCGCAGGCGTACCATTACCGTAAAGCTACCGCTGGCAGTTAAAAACAATTTATAAACTTGCTAACGTCAAACTTGTCTGCAGATCAGATGCAGTGTCTTTATCACTTGTAACACACTTCTCCTGATAATTCATATGATTATTCAGATAAACTAAATAAAATTTAGCAAACAATCTTAAAGGAAGTCAGACTACAAAAGGAAAACAAAGCTCACTTCATGTCAAACAGAGCGAAAAGTTCGCGGAAAAAATAGCTGATCTGTACCTATAAACACGGGGTTTGCATGCTCCCTTTCATTCGTTGAATCGGGATCTGGAGAAAGTTAAGACAGACGTTACGGAATTCCTGTTTATAAACAGTTTAACGTAGAGCGTATGAACTAAGTACTGCGTTACGGGATAGGTATGGCAGTGGTGTGGAAAGCTACAGTTTATACAAACCACCTTTTACGATATGATCAAATAAACGCGCTGTTATTTCAAGGAATAGTCAAAGATATGCAATCAAATGTTAAAATAATTATATTAATTACCGATAGATGCGCTGGAAGCGCTTTATTTACATGTCAACATGGCGGCCTCTAATAAAAATAATGTTTTCCGGAGTGAAAATTCTCATAATTCGTTACTCAATGAGGAAGAAAGTGACATTAAGGGTCTGTTGGGCAAACAGGTACTCGAGTACTTTGCGGCAGGGGAATACCCCTTACTACGTTTCTTGAAAAGTGACATTATATAGGTTTTTGTGACATTATGTAGGTGCTTCTACAAGATGTCAACTTAGCACTAGCTGTTATACACTTTTGTGTACTAGTTCCAAGGCTGTATGTGTTGCCTAAACGTCATGATGCTTCAGCTCTGAAGTGATGTATCAACTGCTTCAGAGATGGCATTATTGGAGGTCTAAGCTGTAAGTTGTATACTACAGCTGGAAAAAACGGCAGTGCATAGATACATAGTGAGGATTTGTGTTATAATAATCTGTATTGATAATAATTCCATTGGTTTCTTGTCTCAAATACACGTACTTGAGATGTTTGCAAAGCTAAAAATTAGTTGCGCATCCGCTTTTTTATTCAACCTGGCAATTACTTATGCAAATTTGCTGAATTCCAGAAAAGAGAGCGATAAGAAAAGAAAATCCCTTGTTGGTGAAATATATTAAAACAGGTGAGAAAATATGGTACATACAGGAATATTTATGAAACGTTAAAATATTTCACATTCATTTTTATTTCCAGCCATTTAAATTTTATAGAAATTTATTTTGGCACACCTAATAGATATATTTCATGGGCAGCATATCCAGTAATAATTTTCTTACATAGCAAATATCACTGATTTTATACACATGCCGACCAATACCCACAATCATCCCGATGTGATTTTGCTACTCTGCTACTCAACTACACTTCTTCTCAGAGTAACCACAAATCTTCTCAGAGTATACTCTACACAGACTATTTGCAATCAACAAAGCATGACTTTCAGCTTGCAGCATGATCATTGAGCGAGTCGTGTCGTTAAGTCACTCCTCCATAGACGGACGCTTTTGATGTCGCTCACAGCGCTCATAGCGAGCAAATGCGGAATTTACTATTTGCACACTAGGAACTATCTAGGCAGCAAGTTCACATTCTGTCGGTTTCTATTACGTTTTATAAGTTTTTTACGTACTAGCCCTGCGGATCGCTCAAATACCGATCAAAACGACAAAAAACCGTGGTGTTAGAAACGTGTTTCACAGGTTATTACTTCATTTTTATATTGCATTATTATTCCAAGTCCTTCCAGCTAAAATATTGTATTCGTCTGTCGAACTACCATTTTATTCTCGGTATATTAAATGTAAAACTCCATCAAAACTCATCTATTTGTTCCGTTTTTAGGTTATTCGTCAAATAAAGAAAAGTAGGGTGAGCACGAAAAACAATAAGTTGTTTGCCAAAATTTAACTTTCAAGTATTTTAATATTGTTTTAATCGGAATAATTATTTTTCTGGGTCTGGCCAAGCAGATTGAAAAGAACTTCTCGCACAGTAGCCTTCCACCACTTACGTGTCAGGATGGAACGATTGTGTCCGACTCAAAGGCCAAGGCGGAAGTGCCGCCAATTCAAAGGGTTCCCTACACTATGCGGGAGGTAACATTCAGGCATAAGACCTTAAGACGAGTGCTCTTGTCGCTCGACATCAACAAAGCTTCTGGTCCGGACTTGATTCATGCCAAGAGGTGTGCAGCGGAGCTTGCTCCAGTTCTTTCGCGTCTCTTTCAGATATCTTATGCATCCGGCACCATCCCAGAAAACTGGAAATTTGCTCATGTCCAACCCATCCCACAAAAAGTATATAAGATCGAAATTTAGAACTACAGGCCTATAGCTCTGCTTTCTGTTATAAGTAAGGTGATGGAAAGGTGCATAAATCGCGAACTTCTCGGGTACACAGTACTGTAATTTGACGGAAAAAAGCGTTCTACCGCTCGTCCGGTTTCGATGGACGGCCGAGTTCTGCCAAAGAGCCATTCATTTCGACTGGTTGGAGTTGCGATCACCGAGGACCTGATCTGGCACGAACACATCTCGTCAATAGCGGCAGTTGATGGGAAAAAGCTATGCTATTTGTTTAGGGCTAAGGAGTACTTTTCTCTACATGACCTTCTCACTCTAT